AGTCTCTCTGTGTGTATCTCTCTGTGTGTATGCTGAGTCTCTCTGTGTGTATCTTTGGCATCTTTACCTTATTGACTTAAAGCAGTGGTTCCCAAACTTGGCAACTTTAAGACTTGTGGACTTCAACTCCCAGAATTCTCCAGCCAGCTCTTGTGGCCTGCTTTCCGGGTCCACTGGTGGAACCTCTTCTAACCGGTTCAGTAGATTTGATGAACCAGTTCTACCGAATAGGTGCGAACTGGTAGGAACCCACCTCTGCTGAAAGCCCTATCAATAATGGAGCTGACTGGACAATTCATCCCTTGCCAGTGTCTCCTCCTGGTGCACTGTGCTTTCTCTCCCCCAACCAACTGGAAGCACCTCCCAAAATTGTGGTGCTGACCCGGCGACAGGGAGCCACAACAGAGGGATGAAAGAGCTCCATAGCCGCAGGTTGCCAACCCGTTTTAGATATTTTCAAGTTTGGAAACATTGTAAATGCAGCTGTCCATTTATTCACTACTTTATATCAATATTTTATGTACTTTCTGTCAGATGATTCTCATTTCCGTCTTTTTTTATTTTTAGCTGCCAGAATCATTTTAACAATATGGGCGGTATAACTGGACTCCAATATGATACTTTGAAACTATATTACTTATTCTTACACATGATCTCTTTACATTTTCTCTGGAGATAACAACAATGTTAATTGCCACTTTGTCTACAGTATGTCTAGTCTAATGAACAGAAGGACTAGGGGGTGACATGATAGTGGTGTTCCAATATTTGAGGTGCTGCCACAAAGATGAGGTGCTTTCCAAGGCACCAGAAGGAAGGACAAGAAACAGTGGATGGAAGCTGATCAAGGAGAGAAACAATCTAAAACTCAGAAGAAAATTCCTAATGGTCTATCGATGGAATGGCTTGCCTTCAGAAGTTGTGGGTGCTTCATCACTGGAGGCTTTCAAGAAAAGACTGGACAGTCTTTTGTCTGGAATGGTATAAGGGCCCCTGCTTCAGCAGGAGGGTTGGTCTAGAAGACCTCCAAGGTCCTTTCCAATTCTGTTATTCTATGTTCTGTGTTTTACTTGAATTAGAGCAGATTCCTCCTGATCTTATTTATGGTAAAGTCTTTGGATTCATCTACGAGATAATTTAAGGTTTTCCATTTTAATTTCAAATGGAGGAATAATTTGTCTTTTCGGCATCTGAAAGGAAAAATCCCTCTGGCTATTTGTTCCTTGGCACACATTTTATGCACCTTGAAGGATTGAAGACTTCAGTAAATAGTTTTGATTACAAATCCAAGACCTGAAATGTGTCCAACTATCCTACGTTGTTCACCTGTCAATCACATAATAATCCTGTCAGAGAACCCAGCCAAATCTTGCATTTTTGTGGACATTATAAGCAACACAACAGGGACTAAAAAGCCTTATGGAGGAAGCTCGGATGAAACTTAAAGGAGGTTTTTGTTCTATCAGATGCTTCCAAGATTATTTGTCAACCAACAGTGAACTAAGCCAACTTTTGCCATCTTTCATTCTTAGCTACCAACAACAGGAAGAAATTCGCACCTTGCTATTTTTCAGAATAACTTCCTTAAGGGGTGAATCACATCCAACTCATTCCAAATTTTAATTCTTCGGTATTTAAACTTCATCTGAGTATGCCCAGATGAGACCAAAAGCTTTTATGAACATTAAGTAGCTTTACATTCCTCAGAGCTAAGTTTATATCTTATTCCAAAGTATAAATCACCATGTTTTCTTTTGACACATGAACCCAGTCATTGTAACTTATTTGATCATCCATTGTTTAGCACAATCTTCTCCAATCCAGCATCTTAAGATACACTTATTACTCATCCTGGAAGGAACTCTTGGGCCAAAGGGTGATTCAGAGTGATGTGTAAGCTTGAGGTATAAATAAAACAGATTGCTACAACTGGCAAACACACAGATCGAATGGATGAAAAACAAACTTGATAAGGAATGGTAACCACCAATAGCTTTATGCTTGCTGGTGGCAGAGGAATACACCCTTCCTGACCTAACTTGGATAAGATTATCAGATACCAAGATTACGCAAGGAGAAAAGACACGTCCTATAGACCAGTGTTTTTCAACCTTGGGGACTTTAAGTCCTATGGACTTCAACTCCCAGAATCCCCCAGCCAGCATAGCTGGCTGGGGAATTCTGGGAGTTGAAGTCCACAGGACTTAAAGTCCCCAAGGTTGAAAAACACTGCTATAGACCAATGAAACATACAAAAAGCTTTTGTGAAGAAACTGAACAATTAATCTGGCATACAGACTTTGCCCGGTGTTTCACGATACCGACAGAATCAGGAACATAAAATATAGGGTACCAAAGTCAAGAAATCCTTAAGTATTTGTTAGATAAGCAACCTTCTGGAAAATGGCCATTTCTTTTACACAAAGTGTTTTGTTTCATTTTCTTCAAACCAAAATTAAATAGACCTTCCAGACACTGGAAGACTGTTCTAAGTATGTCAGGAACTTATCACTTGATAAACATACACTATATTGCCAAAAGTATTCGCTCACAATTGATTCTGATTATGTGGATGGGTGAGCAAATACTTTTGGCAATATAGTGTATTTACAATTTTGGAAAGAACATGGTGTTATCTATCTCAGGTTATCTAATCACATAAATATCTGGCTAGTCATTTAGTCAGATACGTACAATAATTAAAAGCGAATTGTATAAACAATGTAAAGAAATAAAGTACAAAAGACGTATTGAAATCAGCTCAGCTCTTTGATACGCGAAGCAGTTTCCCTCTTAAAATGCGTTTAAACGTTCCTTGTAGCGGGATAGAACTGGAAAGCATTCACTTTGCAAGCCCTGAGGTAGAAATGGTATGTGAAAAGGTTACCAATGTTTTGCTAGGATGCCCTTCTATCGCAATCTTATTCTATTTTAGTCTGGTCTAACCTGTAACAGACTTACATTTCACACAAAAAAAGTCCTTTTTAACATGATTGAAAAGATGTTGCAGCGGTCATAAGGGTGAGGACTGGTCATGTCACTTTTTCAGTGTTGTAACTTTGAAGAGGCATTGAGCGAATGGCCGTAGGTTTAGGACGACCTATATACATCACCTAGTGTTACTGTGGTGCCCCAGGTTGTTTATAAATTGGATTAGATAAATGCATTTAACCTGGTTTAGAACAGAATCCCACACGCACCCAACCAGCCTCCCATCCATGTTCAGGCAAGGTTTGGTTCTGAAGGAAGTTAGCACCCACCCCTCTCCTAGAAAAATGAAATGTCTTAGGAAATATTGAAAAGGCAGAGTGTTACATTTCCCTAAATGAGAAGTGGAGAAACATGTTTTTAAGGCAGGAAGCAAATTCATTCTTAACAGCCCCCACCTTCCTCAATAGCCCACAGCAGATGTCCTTAAGAGATAAAGAGATAGCTAGGTCTATTCATAGAGAAATGCCCTCACCCAGGATTCCACAAAGGTAGGATTAGCCCTCTACCCATCTCACCACATGGCACTTGGGAAGATTACATCAGCCAGCAAAGGCTCAAGCAAGCCTGGGACACAGACAGCCTACAAAGTTAGCTAAGACCCCTGCCCCCTGAGAGTCTGACAATCAATCAGAATGCATCTCTTACACAGGAACAGGAAGCTCATAAAGTGGAGCCCAGAGAGGGGATAAAGCCCAAGGACTCTTAGCATCTCGGCCCTTTTTTCTTCTTCTTCAAGGGATGTTCAACATCTTTTCCCCCCCGGGACCTCCAAACCATGTGGTCCTGTCCATTGAAACCTTCTTTCCAAGCAACTTCCATGAATCCGGTGTCTTTTCCCCCACTTGGAACTGAACCCAGGTGGACATTTCTTCCAACGGTTCCATTTAAACGCATACAAGACTGCAGCCTTAAGACATGTTTATTAAACTAGAGCGCATAGTTTTCTCTATAGAAAAAGAAAGCTAAAGAAACAGACCTCTTGCCAATGCTATGTACAGTCTCTTTGTTATACAAAGCGGAAATGATTAAAAACAAAAAAAAAGAGTATGGCAAGAACTGCCCCGCTCAGTGGTTGCTAATCTCAGTTGCCCTCGTGGTGTTGTCACCCTTTAGAAGAGCCACGTCATCCAAGGTGGGTTGCTACAGAGAACAAGCAGCGAACTTCAGTTGCATCGGTTTCCATGACTTGGTGGGAACAAAAACTCCAGAGAAAAAACTCTAAAATTCACAGATGGGCATGGCACATTTATATTTAAAAAAAAATCACCGATCTTCTTTCTTGCCCTTTCTCTCCAAACTCCCTACAGCAAGCAACCCACAGACAGCCACTGGTTGCGAGGTAGAGTTAATGCCCTCCGGTGTCCAAGGAAGACACCGGGAGAATTAGCCTCATCCACCCGAGGAAGGGCCTTTGCGTCCTGGTCTCCACGAACAAGTCCCACCACCTTCTCCAGACAAGGGGTTATAACCTGGGAGAAGAAAGAGGAACTTCATCACATGGTTTTCCACAGGGGACAGGCAGGTAAGGACATACATCAAAGCGACATCGAAGGGAAATCTGGACTTCTTCAAAACCAGCATAAGAGCAACAAGGCAAAAGAAAAGAAAACTTTCTTAAGAGAAATAATCCTGTGTAGATGGAGAAATCTGGCATCTGTATGCTAAGAAACCTTACACAGATCAAAATAATAACTGACTGCATGAAAACCTGGGTTTACACAAAGGGCTCACAAACTTTTGCAAGAAATAGAATCTGTCTACCACTTTAAAAGTAAAATCAATGCTTTCTCTTTCAATTCCTATTAGTACTGAATGTCTGTATGTCTAACATGTTTGATCTGGTTTTGTCCTCTTTTGGCAAGTTTTATAAGTAAATTCTTTGACTGATTGATTTTAATGGTAAGTGGAAATCCCACATCAGAAAAGTGTTGTGGCCCGCCAGCAGCTAGCGGAGCTGGTGGCAGATTCAGACAGTGAGGAGGTTGGGGAGGAAAATGGGCCAGTCCTGGAGTCTGGGGAAGGCTCTGATGAGGGCTCTGTGTTGGAGGCAGAGAGGGGGCTAAGGCCGTCCGACAGTTATCAGCTGCCTTCAGAGTCAGACATCAGTGAGGCAGAAGAACAGTTGGAGCCTGTTCCCAGTGTGCGCATGCAGAGTTGCCAGACGAAGGGAAGAGCTAAAGAACAGGGGTCGACTTGGGAGTAAGGCCATAGGTGGAGGATGAACAGCCCCTCCCAGAGGAAATAAATGAGGAGCGACGGGGGAGTGGAGTTTGCAGAAGACAATTAGTTTGCTCAATTGGTTCGTGATTCTCTGAGACTCCTTGCCAAGTTTTGCAGATATTGGCTTTCCAAGCTCTCCAAGCCAGATAAGGTCTGTGACTGTAAATCCTCCCTTTTTTTGCTGGATGTGAATGAGCAGAATTCACAGTGCATTAATAAAAGGGTTTTTTGTCGGGACAAGGAGTTTGCTCCATACTCTTGGGAAGCCTCGGTCAAAACAATAGGCTATTTAGAAAGATACACACCAGCTAATTCTATTGTAACACCATGCAATGGAAAAAAAAGTTTAATCTACTAAGGAATTCTTTCTTCAAAGGACAGAGATATATAAATAAATACGGATCATGTATACAGGATTTGCTCATGCCTGTGTTAAAAATACAATCAGATATATGCAGTAATTAAGCAATTTTTATCAACAAGAAATGTTGTCAACAATATAGACTACAGGATCTAAAAAGATACAGATCTGGGGGAAAATCAGAACATCATTCAAAAGTGGATAACAGAGAAAGATGTGAATATATGAAGTAGTCTTTATTTAGATTAAACAAGTGGCTGTGCTACTTATGATGTTTCTTTTTGGAATCACCAATGGTTTGAATTGGATTTTCATCAATGCTCTGAATATTTTTTTTAAAAATGCACTGGCTCCATTCAGATCACAGCATCAAATTGATTTCTGCAAGATGATTGGGTAGTTCCAATGATCTTTAAGACAGAACCATCTTTTTATATCTTTACACTATAAGGATTTTACTTTCTATGTCTCCATTAGGGAGCAAACGCAGATCCACCCAGTGCTAATCACACACCCAGGATCACCTAAGAGTAAGGCCAGCTCTGTGAAAGAGGTCAACAGCATGTATTAAACCAAAAGGGACACTGCGAAGCACCAACATTCTCCAACAAGATACACAAAAGATTTGGAACCATTTGTGGTGCTCCAGATGTTGATTAACCAAACTTCCCAGTGTGCCTTGTCAACATCTTCACGCTGACCAGGATTTGAATGTGTGATTGAATCACAAGTAGGGACACACAAAACTTAGTGGCCCGATAACAAAAGAGAACCTGCAGTAATAAAATAAATAAAGAAACAACTGACTCAGGAACAATAGAATCAGCACACTACGGAAGAAAAACCAAAAATTTTCTGGAGGGACAGCCAGATCGTAAGAGTTTTATAGTCAGGTTTCCAAAACCATGAGATGCAGAGCGCGATGGAAGGAAGGAAAGTGTACCATGCTGAAAAGTGATCCACTTTCCAAGATCACTTATAATTAGACAGAAGAACAGAAGAATAGACAGACAGACAGACACACATAATTCTTGGTTCAGAACTTACCCTCCCCTCGTAAGGGCTTTTTGTTGGGTTTTGGCTTAACAACAGTTGTCGATGTGGAGGCTTCAGGCGTGGGTTCCTGAAATTTAGTGGGAAAAACTCATTCAGACCCCAAGATTCCAGCTCATCTTTTCAAATCCGAACTGTTCTCAGCAGAAGAGACCAACCTGGTTGTGTTGGAGAGTCGCCTTGTAGCTTTTCCCTTCCTGCATGCTTTCCCACATGGCTATCTTTTGCTTTCTCTTCTCCTCTTCGAGCTGAAGAGCAAAAGGTGCAGGAAGAAGATTAGAATGAAATGATCTTTCCACCGAATCGCAGAATTGGGGCGCCGCTCCAGGCTGTATACAGGCTTCCCAAATCAAAAATAGAAAGACCGCAGAAAGAAGGGAAGTAGTGGACATCTCCCTATGGCTTTCCCCATTTGGTCTCCTCAAATATGATAGACTTCAACTCTGATAATGCCAGCCGGTGTAAACTAAAGGGAATCACTGGAGCTGAAGTCCAACATTATCTTGAAAACATAAAGTTGGGGAGTATGGTATCCAATGAGCAGGCTTGATGAAGGCAGACCAAAATGAAAAGAATTAGCATCGGGAGATGAGAATTAAATTCTCTATGCAGAAGTACACTTGTTTCAAAGACAAATTCCTTGGGTATCCAATTTTTAAGGTATTTTTTTAGGTATTTATTGTACATTTATAGGCCGCCCTTTTCCCTGAGGGGACTCAGGGCGGCTTACAATAAAAGGGGAGAGGGAGTGTAGGACAACTACAAAAAGAAATGTGAACAAGAATAAATTAAACAGTAAAACACAACATTCACTCGACATTCGGGAGGGGCGAAAGTAAACTTATCCCCAGGCCTGATGGGCTAGCCAGGTCTTGAGGGCTGTGCGGAAGGCCTGGACGGTGGTGAGGGTACGAATCTCCACGGGGAGATTGTTCCATAGCGTCGGAGCCGCAACAGAGAAGGCTCTCCTCCGAGTAGTCGCCAGTCGGCACTTAGCCAATAAAGAATTCTATTCTATTCTATTCTATTCTTCTCTTCTATTCACAAGAGTTGCTTTTTTTCAGGAAAAAAGCCTCCAATGAGGCAAGCGAAGTAGTTTGAAAGGTCATTAAAATGTTCTATCAAAATTAACATTTTTGTAGCTATAAAAAGAATTTTCAGTGTTTGGTCCTGGAGAAATCCTTAAACCAGAATAGATTTTACAGCATCTTTTCTCTCCAATGTGAAGAGAAAGGAATAAGCAAACCAGGTGATACTGATGTCACAGGAAGCTACTTTCATGGCCAGGTTAACTAAACAAGTTATTTGGAATGGAAGAGGACAATTTGGACGATTGCTGAGATAGCATGGTGAAATTAAGAGAGAGTTCAGTTCACTTTTCATTTTTCCACCTCTCTTAGCAGATTTAGATTTATAGCTAGCTAATTTCCTCCAGGTTTGCAAACTTCAGCTATTCCAGCTCTGTAGAAGGGAAATAATATACACAGTGCGGTGTTTCAGGCCCCCAATGTTTTCGGAACATTTCTAGCCATTAGGCTTCAGCCAAGCAATCCAAACTGACCAGGTTCACATATTATATTAAGTTATGGTTTTCTTTACCAACTCTGATGGACAAACCAGAGTAACACACCACACTAAGCCGCTATGTCTATTTTACATTCCACCATCACATACTGCATCAGACCATCAAGCAAATAAGCCGTTGCATGGTTTAATCATCTTTCTTTTAACGACTCCATAATCCCTTGCGGGTTGGAGTCTGGGCAGGTGAATGGAGCTAGCCAAGTGTTTAATGGCCAGATGCCCTTCCTGTTGCCAATGTGAGTTTTGTTCAGCAGATATATTCTTATTGTGCCAGAGAGAGAGAAATATCTGCCACCGCACCACTCCAGTTGGTTTAATGCATGGTTTAGTGGAGGGGTCCCCAAACTTGGCAACTTTAAGACTTGTGAAATTCAACTCCCAGAATTCTATAGCTATAGCTGGCTGGGGAATTCTGGCAGTTGAAGTCCACAAGTCTTAAAGTTGCCAAATTTGAAGACCTCTGATTTAGTGCAACATGTGAATCCAATTCATCACAGTGAGTGCCTTGTGCCCGAGCGCAACAGAATAGAAACTCCGGCGCCAAATTCTAAATTAGCTCTTTAGAGCAAAGATCTCAAATTGCACCGTAAAATTCTATTTACGGTACTGATATTTCATTTTTTGGGGAGTGCAGGCTCCCAATCAAACTTCTGTATTTTTTCCTCGTTCTTTTGAATAGAAAGCACACTTATAACTGCCAGTCTTATAATGTTGCTGCAGGCACAAGCAGTTCTCTGAACAGCTGCTTTAGTATCTGAAACAAACCCATCTGGCTGAGACATACCATTTTCTGTTTTTCCTTGAACTTCTCTGCTTGGACATTCAATTGTTCCTGCATCTTCATTCGGGCAGCTAGGAGAGCTTCTTGTCGTTTAACCACATCGTCTGGTTCTGAATCAATCCCAAGAGAGAGTTAACCAAAGCTTAGAATTCATATATTTGCACTAGCCTTGTGGTTTTTCATCTCTTCCGATACCGAAACTTGCCTTAATTTAATTTGCCACTGCTGCTTAGGAGTTAATCTCTTCTATCTGTCTTAAAATTATTCACCAGAATAATTCCACCAGGAAGTTGTTAACCATTCCTGTTATCCTTAGCCCTCTTAGACAAATAAGCTAAACCAAAACAGGAAGAACTGAAGAAAGCTAAGTTTCGGGGGGTGGGGGGGACATGTTTAATCTGAAAGTCTATCTTATCAAAATGGAAGGGATAAGCAGGACTGGCTGACCCAGAACATTATATAAGTTTACTTCTACACAGCTTCTAGCCCAGGGCAGTAACTATATTGAATTCTACTGTATAGTGCAATATTAATGCAATATCGGGTTTTCAATTTCAATTATATAGCATGTGAAGGATGTGTCCTTGTGTTTTTATTTTTATAGCTATAATGTACACTGAAGATGGCATTTAATTTCATTGTACGATGTGCAATGGCAATAAAATAAAATAAGAGGGATACCTCATCCTTATTTCTGTGAAGATGATGATCACATTATCTATTAGCAAGAGTGGCAGATAAATAGCACAATACGAACACGCAATTGCTGCAATTTTATTGCAGTTTTGCAGAATAAATTAAATGCTCCGAGGAGATTCTACATGGAAACCTACAGGGAGGAGTTAATATCATCTTCCCAGTTTTCATAGGCTTACCTACTCTGTTCAAGAAGAGAAACTCATCTTGATAATAATACCACATTTTTTTTAGCACTGGCAATAATAAATGTACCCTGATCTAATGCATAAAGATCTAAAGTTGTGCAGACATAGAGAGAAAGTCAGTTGAGAGTATTATTCATACACACCTATATCAGGGGTGAAATGCTACTGGTTTGGGCCACTTCAACCGAACTGGTAGTAAAAAATGCTACCATTTGCCCGAACTCGTAATAAAATAATGCTTTAAAAAGTTTTTAAAAGTTCCGATGATCAGCTGTGTGAAAATCAGCTGTGCCTGATTATCTGTGAGGTTCCTGCTTGTTGCAGGGGCCGTTTTATGCGAAGTCCAGCTGCTTCTACATTGTGTGTGAGTCATTGTGCAGCCACGCCCATCTGGCCACATGACCACCAAGCTACGCCTGCCCAGTCATATGACCACCAAGCCACACCCACCTGGTCACATGACCACAAAGCTATGCCCACCAAGCTAAACCCACCAAGCCACACCCACCTGGTCACATGACCACAA